GATATCATTTCCAAATGCATGATCTAGAAGCCATCGGACAATTACCCTTTCCATGACTTTGCACACTGTGCTTGTCAGACTTATTGGTCTGTAGCTTTGTGGTAACTTTTTGTCTCCTTTCTTGAAAACCGGTGTGATAACAGCTTTTTTCCATTTAGAGGGCAATTTCCCTAATTCTAAGGATTGCTTGAATATTTTATTCAGTCAGGGAGCAAGTTGTAAATTACAATTTTTCAAATACACGGTTGGAATACCATCGGGTCCGGTGGAAGAGTTTGCATTCAGTCCGCACATAATCTGGGCAGTTTCAATATTTGAAAATTCCTTATTTTCAATAATTCCGGTACATCTCTCTTCAACGGTCGGCAGTGGACCTTCTGGTTCAACAGTATATATCTTTCCGAAATCATTAGAAAAACATTCCGCAATTTCACTTGCGTCAGTTATTGCGTCGTTTAGATTTGGACTTTCACAGAATTCCAAAATCAAGATATATTATTGAATTGAATTGATGCATTATTTTACGTTGCGAGACTTTGGCCATCAGACTTGCTCTTCCATCTGACCACGCAAATTTCGCTACGCTCCTTTCACCATCTAAAAGAGAATGGAAGTGTTTTTTGAGCGACAAAACAGGCGATTTGAATTCAGCTCAGTGGCGTCGTTGAGACTTGAGGATCTTTTACATGCAAGTAAATCTACTAACATGGAACAGGCGGCTTTACTTCCCCTTCGAAGGAAGGCGTACAAAGGATTTTTTCACCCTTAAAAAATCCACGGTATCGATTGGATTTGAATTCGTGAACTTGGGTATAACAATCCAATACGCTAACCGCTACACCATCGCCGCTTAAATATTATTAATTAAATGGTTTCAATATGCCTATTGTAGTCTGCATATAGAATCGTGATATTTTTTTAAATTGTGGCACTTAAAAAGTTTGATATCTAAAAGTAGATCATCATGTCCTGTGATCTTATACTTTTGAAGCTTTTAATTTTGTAACTTTATTTATTGAATGGTGTCAGTATTGAACCATGGTGGATAATCATAAAATTGGTGGAAACTAAGGGAACATTATAATAAATAATGATATATAATTTTTCATAGAATTTGTCACTTTGATAATTAACACTCGTGCTTGCACCATCTTCAAAGATAGTTGTCCAATCCACCATTAAGAGATGCTCATTAATAAGAGAGAATTTTTTTTTTTTATAATTGCAATGTGCAAGTTTCTGAAACATTCGAAAATTGACAAGTTCTGGTTTTGTGACTAGTAAGTTAGAATCAAAATTCAAAGGAAAATGATATGGATCAATATTAAATATAGGATCTAAAGAAAGAGTTACATTATGATGAGTAAAAGTAAATAACAAATCCAGAAATTTACCATCACAATTATTTAATGATTATATTATAAAATATTTTTCAAAAAATTACAGGCTTATGATTATATTACATTTAGAATCGAGAGAAGAATGTAAGACAATATCAATATATTGGGAACAATTAAAGTCACCATTCATAATAATATTATCTGACCAAAGACATTGAAGTAACATAAGTTCATTACAAAGATCGATTAGGCCTATATTTGGAGGTATGTAACCTACCAAAACAATTATTACCAACTCTGTAAGTGTAGTTTAATCCTAACAATATCACTATTCGGAAATAGTTCATCAATACTATATAAATCAACAGGAGAAACATCAAAGCACTTGCAAATTGCTATAATTGTCTTTCACCTATTTGAATTCAGTGAGCTTTACAAAAAATTTCTTATTCATTGATATCGATAAATTTTGAAGACAAAACATTAGGATTAAGTCAGTTTCTGTAATACTTTTAAGATTCAGTATTGATAAATCATGGCAAAACAAAGAAGGTAGTTTATTGCCTAGACACCAAACATCTTGATAATAGCAATCAAGTTTAATAGGAGCATAGAGATAATTTATTTTGGCAGAGATTCGTGATGTTTTTTCATCTGTCTTGTAGGTCTGTATGTGGGAGGAGCATACCATCCCTGCTCTATGGCAAGAAGTCATAGCCCATCGTCCCAGTTCCCAAAGAAGGGAAAATATTGATCATTGCCATAGAGATATTGACCTATCCCATCCCATGTATTCAATTCTCAAAGTCTTCAAATATGTGATGTCATGTTCCATGCCGTTATGTGAATCAGAGGGAATGAACTGACCAGATGGTGAAAGCGGCGATGTGGAACTCACTTTGATATTCCTTCTGTACCATTATCTAATATAAAGGCTTTTTTGAAATGATCAGTTGTCCCTATAAACCTTAATTAATCAATCAATCAATCAATCAATCAATCCTTGCTCCAGTTGCTCAAACTTAATGATTCAATCAAGGGGATGCAGGAAATAGAGTTAGAGATGATTTATTTATACCTGTAGTACATTCAAAGATAGATGAACATTCAAATGAAATATTGTACCTTATTTTAATAGTTATCAAAATTCTATCTTATTATTTACAAGAAACATTATGTGGTTAAAGATTTCCATTGCAATTAATGTTTGCAAATTTTAAACTCATCTTTTTTTTATTTCAATTTCAAGAACATTTTTTAAAATTATCTAATTTTACATTTTTGTTTTTATCTTGCAGTGCCATCAGATGGTCTTCTTTCTTGGAGCACTGCATTCAAAATAATATTGTATATGCAAAAGCATGTTTACCGTTTTAGCCATTTCAATAACGTGCAAACGTAATGATTAAACATCTTAGTTCAACATTGTTTTGCCAAAAGTTTGAATCTTAATATCTCATTACTCCTCTTTCTTCTTCTCTTTTTCTCTTCTTATTCTTAATCTTCTCTTTCTCTTCCCTGATGCCCTTCCCCTCCACAGCCTTCTTTTCCTCCTTTTCCTTTTTCTTCTCCTTCCTAGCTACAGCGGCTTCAATTTAATATTTTCAGGAATATCTGGGAATAACCGCTCTGCTCAAATGTGGAATACCATGCAATTGCTACTGCCAGTCATTATATAAGGCATGTGCGACTGGTGTCAATACCATTAATCATACAGACACATTACGAAAAAATGTCAAAACCATAAAAAGATGGGGAAGAATATTGCATAATATATAAGGGTAATAGGCCATTATGTGCTTGTTAATTCACTTGCACAGTATAACCTGTTTTACCCATTTGTTAAATAGTGTCTATATTGGTCATTGAACATATTTTTAAACTAATTCTGTTATGCCATTTCTACTGAATTTTTTATTCATATTTAATTTTCATCTTTTAAACACTCACAGCGATACAAGACATTCGATTTTTAGCACAACTGCCAGTATATAAATTTCTCATGTGGGTTTTCGAGTTGTAATCTAATGGTTTGAAGTTTGAGTCGGCAAGTTTGTTCAATTCTTTTAACTGCAGCCATCAAAGATTCATGGAATGTTTTAAGCTTTAAAGTGTTTGAACTTTAACTGTAATTTTAATAGTGCCAGGTCTTTGTTGTTATCATACGTTGTTGTTGTCATTGTCATCAAAAACAACCACAGCCAACAATAACCACAGCCAACAACAACCACAACCAACAACCACAACCAACAACAACCACAACCAACAACCACAACCAACAACAACCACAACCAACAACAATCACAACCAACAACAACCACAACCAACAACAATCACAACCAACAACAACCACAACAACCACAACCAACAACAACCGCAACCATCAACAACCACAACCATCAACAACCACAACCAACAACAACCACAGCCATCAACAACCACAGCCAACAACAACCACAACCAACAACCACCACAACCAACAACAACCACAACCAACAACCACCACAACCAACAACAACAACAACAACAACAACAACAACAACAACAACAACAACGTATGACATGTTCCTTGTTTTCAGTAGTCCCCTACACTAGTTATGGTGTTCCCGGTCCTGCCACTGTTTCTTTTGTCTGCTGGGGTATCTATTTTCTCTTGGTCTGAAGTTCTTTGCCATCTTTAGGAATCTGCTTAGTTGCATTCTTTTTATATGATCTTGCCATTTTGCCTGATATTTCTCTATTTCAGATACCACGTTCTTTGTTTTCAGTGTTTTCTGTATTTCTTTGTTCCATATTTTGTCTTTTTGTGTTACTTGAAGTATTATTCTCAGGTACCTCATTTGGGCTGCTTCTATTTTCTAGTATTTAGACTATCCGAGATGAGCCGCATCACTGACATGGTGGCTAACGTTCTGGCCAGCGTTTTGTGGCCTTCCTCAGAGTGCACTGCTACTCTGTGGAAGGCCACAATACACTGGCTGAAATGTTAGCCACCATGTCAGTGACTTGGCTCGTCCCGAATAGCCAAGATAACACAAACTCTGGGCGTGGAAGTCTACGCAACTGCCTCTATTCTCTGTTTGAGTGTCCATGTTTCACTGCCACATCGTATAGTTGGCTTTGCCACTATGTTAAGTATTCTTCTTATTTTTGTTTCTTTATTTATGATTTAAAATTGTCTGTTTATGCAACCATTGATGTTAAATTTGGCCAGTTTTGTTTCAAAATCTTCCTCTCTTATTATATCTTGTTGCCTAGATATGTGAAAGTTGATACTTATTGAATTATCTGATTATCTATACCAATTTGTACTCTTTCTTTTCCTCCCTTCCTCCTTCCCTCTCAATCTTTTCCTACTTTTCCCATTGCCTTGGTTTGTCATATTGATATTTTCTTTTTATATTATTTTGCTATTCATTTTAGAGTACATCGTCAGGCGTGCCTAGTACCACTTGATCATGGTGTATAATATTGTTGCTATTTTCTTGTTGTGTCTCATCATTATTATTCCACCTTGATAACAGATGATGTACGATACACTATTAGTGTATTGTAAAGATCACAAAATGTTTATGAAGTTCCCATCGATGCAATGTTAGGAATGTATTAATTGTTTTCAATGAAATTGAGCCCAATTTACCCTTTGTTTTTTTTGTGTAGGTATGCTTATCATCTACGGCGCTGGGCCCTAGAAGGGCGTGGTGTTGCAAGTCATGTTCAGCTTCCGTTGGGTGAGCGTGGTGCTATTCCAGTAAGAGTCGTAGTGCAGCCTGCTGGAGTTCCTGATAAAACGACCCTGGATCTTGTCTCTGGAGATTATGTAGCTGACTTGCGAGCAGAAGTGGCCAAATGGTGGGAGGGCCTTCAGTCTAAGGCAGAGGCCACTGCAGTCACTGGAGCAACAGGTCACATGTTGGGTTCACTTCTGGCTGAAGGTCCCATTCGTATGATTACCCAAGGTCAAGAGCTCACTGCAGAATTTGATGAAAAGACATTGCAAGAAATGGGCTTTAAGGATTTGCAGGTGAAACATTCCTTTTGCATTAAAAAGTAATTGAAAATTATAAATGAAAGAATTATGAATATGTCGTTTCATTTTTTCCCCCTAATGGACATTAATTACATTCACAGAAATTCAAAAATAAATATTGTAAATAACTGTTGTAAATTGTAAAAAATGAATTTTAAAATGGTTTTGAAATTTTACTTTTTAAAAATATGTTTCTTAAAAATTCATAAGATAAAACACACTTAAAATAACAAAGGATTTTATTGTATATAGTTCAAATTCAGGGTACTAGGTTGGTTTTCAGTGAGGGTACTAGATTGGCTTTTCTTTTTCCTTTGAATGACCCACCATGAACTATGTTTATTTCAACTTTCTACTTTTCTTTGCTTCCATATCTCTTTCATTCTGGTCCGATATTTCTCTTTCCTCTTTTCAGTCTTATTATTTGTTCATTTTATTATTAAGGTTAATATGTAAATCATTTGTTTAATAGAGACTCGCATTTTATTTGGCAATAAAGACCTTTATGATTACCATTATTTTATTATTATTATTATTATTATTATTATTATTATTATTATTATTATTATTATTTGCTTAATTTTGATGTTTCTTATTGGGTACAATCTGGCTACGTAATGTTCGAGAAGATCAGATTATCTCCATGTCCAAAGAACTGAAAATTAATTAATTAAAGTTGCTTGAAATTTTTTATTTTAAGTGTGTTTTTATTGATTATACTTTGAAGTTATTTTACATTTTTATGTTTTAAAAATTTAGTTTCATATTTAATTCCACAGTGATTTTGGTGAAAAAAGTATACAATGTTCTTTGCTTCCGTTTGAAAATACATTTCAAAGACAGTATGATTCAATATGTGTCACTGGATTTGTGCAAAAAGCTTTAAAAAATATGGAGCTAGAGAAAATCTTGCTTACATCTTTTTGGATAATTGATATGAGTTGATTGAATATGACACAAAAGAATAATACTGTATTTACCCGAATATAAGACGAGGTTTTTACCTAAATATCTCAATTGAGAAATGCGGGGATCATCTTATATTCACGGATTAAGTTTAGTCGGTTAAGGTTTGATTAAGGTTAATTGCCATTCCATGAAACTTATAAAAGTTGATGTTATAATAAACTGCGAAGATAGTAAAAATATTGCACATATCTACAATATGTAATTATATTCTCCATCATGTCGTCATTTGCCACCATGAATTTGCCGGGGAATTCAGAGCAATATTTTTGATTTTAAAGAGGGAATCTCAAACAAACGGAAGTGCGAAGGCAGGTAGAAAATTTAGCAACACAGAAGAAAATGTTCTTAGGTGGTGTCTCATGAAAGACTAAGGACAATGCGAATTCAGTGCGCAGAACTTTCAGAGGAGTCTAAACAGTTGGAAGATGTTGCAGAATGGGAGAAGGACACAAAAGAACGAAACATTGATTCATGTGAAGGTGATGAGGATAGTGACAAAAACTTTGATTGTGATCATTTTAAGAAACAAGAAAATTATAGTTTAGCAATAAGTCTTAACATTCTCATCAACAATCAAATCTTTTTTAGTTGTAAAATACCCATAATATTGTCTTCAAAGATTCAAAGAAGCCTTGAAAGCTTTGCAACACACACAAATATATACTGGAAGAAAAAATATATTAACACTACTTAATGGATAAGCCCTTGCGTAACATGTCACTTGCCATGCACAGAACATAATCTCAGCTTGTAAGTCATTCTCATCAAATTTTGTTGGTCATGTGATCTCTCCCAACTTCAGAAACATTAATATCAGATCGCCATCAGAACCTTAGTCCACAAGCTGGCCAGCTTACATCGCACTCGTTGTTTCCAGATTACACAAGTCACCTCCCAAGTCTACGACAGTGCGTTGAGTCTTGGTGTGCTCTAAATTCCAGTGATATACAGGCTGGGACAAAATTGGAAAAGAACAAAAAACGCCTTCTATGCCTTAGGGGCCAAAATTGTATGAGAATTATTTACTTCTACTTGTACAGGGAATAAGATGAACATGGTTTAATGCATGACAGAAGATTATCAGATAGGACACTGGCAAGTTGGACTGCTTTGATACTTCCAATTAAGGGCAAAATTTTGATGACCTAAAACATTGCCAATAATGATCAATAAAATGCTGTTAAAATGCTTTAAAAAGGCCTAAAAACAAAGAAAAATGACGTTAAAAATTCAGGAAAGCATGTCAGATGAACATCTCAAGCTCTTGGATATGTTACTGATGTAATCGAGGCTTTCTCTTTTTGTTCAAGTGAACTCAGCTCGCAAACTTTGGGTTTAGACTGTTCTTTAAAAGAAAATCTCGGCCTTTATTTATCGCGAAATCGGCTGAATGGACAATGGCACCAATAAACGTCAGAGGAACCTTGGATTACATAGTACTGATAACGACCAACATTATAATATATGCATGAAGGAATCGAATAGGCTACTCAGGAATTCTGTGGTGAAAATTTGTTGCACCTCATAAATATTGATACAGATGTTGTTGTTTTAACATTATTATTAGTGCAGAGAGCAAACTTGAGACTTGTACATGAATACTGGTCAACCAAGGTTAAGTATAGTGTGGTTCACAATTTGGGATTTGTGAAATCAATAGTCATTCTCCTAATGTAGCCCATTTTGTCAAGCCTTTGTTATCACTTTATCAGTACAAATTGAAAATTTCAATTTAGAGTTGAAAATAACCTCCGAATCATTGAATGCTGTTACAAATCCTAAATGTTGATTCCTGAGTAACAAATGAATATTGCTACTGTGACAAGAAAAAGTTATTATGATGCATTTTGAAAATAGTCAAGTTTAAGTTATTTGTTTCTAACCATGATTCCAAATTTTCCATATTTGGTTGGAGAGGCACAGTTGATTTAATTTCCAGAAATAGTTGTAGAGCGATTTTAAATTAAAATGGTGAGAATATTAGATTGCTTTACAAATACTGATATGAGGAAACTATGTCACATCTGGTAAGACAGAGGAGTTAGTGCTGTGATTTTATCTGAAAGTCTTGATTTGATTTCCACCATTCCCAAACTATATATTTTTTTTAACTTTTTTCCTTGAGTAGTACAAAATGATCTATTAAAATTGGTGTATATTCAATTTTCATTAAAACCTTTGAACTTCCAAAAATTACAAATTCAAATCCTTCATGCTTCTTATGATGAAGACTGTTTCGTGAAATGGATGCAAAAGTTGGTAGGATACAATTTTCAATATTGTAATATTATTTGTCAATGGAGATAAAATGAGACATCTGCTGTTTTAGTACCATTGGTTTGAATTTCAACCATGTTTTTCTTGCAGTTGGTGTTCATCTCTATGGGAGCCTCACGTCAACAGAAAAAAAGAGACGCTTTGGATATGCCATCTGCATTACCTCCACCTCCTCGAGAGAGCTTGCCTACTTTGCTGCTCTTACAACCTCAGTACTTTGAGCAGTTATTTCGACTCATGCATACATTGAGCTCCATGCGAACTCCAGTGAAGGGTGGGGTAAGTGTATTTGAAAATATTTGTGCCATGTATTGCATTTTGTACATGATATTGTTGCTTAAGATGTTGGGATATTCACATTATATCAGAACTAAAATTGACCATCAGAATAGGGAATTACCTTATATCTACGTAGAGAAAGGTAACAAGCTAAGAATGTTCAAGTTGTGAAGGAGTGTCTCCTGATCGGTTATATTTATTCATCACCATCATCATTAGAAGAAGCTTAATAACAGTGATGCTATTGATAGCAACAATATCCTATTATGCATGTGTTTTGAAATGCCAAGGAATAAAATGTTTAAGATGTTTTAGAATTGTATCAAAGTTTCATCATCACAAGTTTGTCCTAAGTACAAGTCTAATAAACAAGTAAAATTTCTAATTAAATCTATATCAGTAAGACCTGGCAAAATGATATATACAGAAGAAGCATAGTCTTCTACAGCCAGAGTCAGTGACTACTTAGCTGTCCTGGAGATGCCATATCCTAGGTACAGATGCCAACATTTCAGCTGTTGTTCTGCTACCTTTTTCAGGGTGAAATCACAGATAAAATTAAAATGAAATGTGTAAATATTGAACGCATTATGTTATTTGTGAAGTTAATAGGTATGATGATTCAAAATTCACTTATGTAAAGTTTAGACTAGTAGCAAAATTCTTTCAAGTAGACTTTAAGCATGTATCAATTATAAATCTAAGGTATAAATGTATTCACTTAAAAAAATAAGTTTAAATAGTAATGATACTAGCGTGTTGTTACGTTTCTTGAATAATTCATTGTATTTCTTTGTGAACCTTGCGTTATTTGAATGAGAATCACTGGAGTTCATTATTATTTTTCAGCATGAGATGCCTCACACAAAGGCTCAAGTGTTATCACGCAGAGTTTGGGACATCCTTACTCTGCTCCCCACAAGTCCTATTTTGCTCAGAGGCTTCCAGAACTTGGATACCACCACAGAACCCACTCTTCAGGATTTACTAGACCCTTCTTCACCACAGAAGTTAATGTATTCTCTTTACATCGTTGAATCACTAGGGAGATCAAGTTTTGCTAAACGTATTTCTTTGACAAATAAGGTAAAAATCCTGATTACAAATGAAAGGGGAAAAAAAAAAAAAAAAAAAGAAATTTTGTGAACAAAACCAACATATTTTTATTATTTGCAGGTTTCAGAAGATTCTTTGGATGGAGCATCTGAAAACTGGAATCAAGTGTTTATCCAGCATGGGGGACTCAGGCACCTATTTGACATCTTCATGTCTGGTCAGTTACAATTTAATTAGTTCTTCACATTCATTACCCATTTTATTTCTGTAGCTACAAATAATTTTTACAACTCTTATCCAATCAATCGTAACAAATGAAACGTCAAAACAAAAAAGTATTGCTGAAAGATGAGTTTTTAATAAATACTGAGATTTCTTTAAAAATTTTAGATTCTTGTCCTCTCAATTTTTCAGCAATTTTCATACTACCGTCACTTTTCTGTCAAACCTCTTTATTTTTACCTTTTTAACAATAATTAAATTATTGATTTAATTTTTACTTCCTTCCATACGACAAAAAGAAAGAAAGGAAAGAAAAAAACTGGTCAAAATTTGCCTCCTCACCATTTCAAGTTTTAAATATAGAATGTATTAATATTGTTAAATTTTATGTTGTTGCTAACAGAATTGATATGTATTGTTTTTATTATTATTATTATTATTATTATTATTATTATTATTATTATTATTATTANTCATCGGACGTGTTTTGCCTTATGTAGCGAGTGAACTGCTGTTGTGAGTTTATATATACCGATTTGTTTGTGATATCATGCTTATCGGCAACTTAAGTTGTGAAATGTTTTGTTTCATCGATAATATTCCATTGACTGGTTAGTGATTCATTTGTTCGATATGGACAATTATTTGATATGGTTTTTGAAGTGCCTACAGATTTATTATTCTTTGGAATAAATCAAATGACCAAATGACTTTGTAGATTATTATCTTTGTAAAGGTAAACTTCACCCAGAGTGTACTTCGCCTAGTACTACTGAATGAGGGTTGTCTCATTGAGAGAAACTTCCAGAGAATTGGAATATCATTTTATGACTTGCAAATCACTGAATATTTGGAGTGATTTGAAAGCTATTTTACTTAACCTCAACTCCAAAATAGATGCACTTGAAGAATCAAATGATTAACTTTGTAAAGACGTTTTTGACCTCAAAGCAATGCATAATTGTGAAACTTCAGTAACAGACACTGCTAAAATTAATTATGAAGAACTCTATTCAGAAATCGTTGATCGGCAAAGACGCTCCAATAATATTATCATTGATGGCATCACCGAAAATCGTAAACAAACAGCACAGCAGTGTTTTGATAGCGATAAGGAGGCAATTAACTCAATATTGAGCGTAATAATTGATTTTGAGATTAAATTTACTAGACTTGGTAATCAGACAAAACTAGTTCATTTGATACAAATGATACGTTTAGACCCATCAAAGTATTTTTGCCAAGTGGAAAAGAAGCTCTGGAAATATTAATAAACAAAAAAGTGTAAAGATGATGCCAAGATTAGTCCTGATATGACTCTCCGTCTACGTAGTAATTTTAGAGGACTTATTTCTGTAATAAATGAGGAATCAAGAAAGGGCAACAATAATCTCCGTCTCAAATACATTAATAATATTACACAAATTATCGATGGATCATTCAAGGGCAAATCTAAAAATAGAGACCAAGAAAACTAAACAACAGGCAATCTCCATCTACTATCAAAATCTTCATGGACTCCGAACTAAGCTTTCTGCCTTCAACAACAATGTAAAGGCCTTTGATGACATCGATATCCTGATTTTCACAGAGACTTGGCTACGTGAAGGGATTAATGATGCTGAGCTCTACCTTATTCATGACAATATCTTTAGAAACAACAAAAGTGCAGCAACAAGTCAATATAGCAAAGGCAGTGTGGTGATGATTGCTATTCACAAGAAATAATATTGTATTGCTTTTGAATCCTGTAATTCTTGTGCAGAACAAATTTTTGTTAAAGTTAGAACTGAAAGCTCGTACCTTATTGTGGCATCAGTGTACATACCTCCAAAATCTATGTCGGTAGCATACTCACAATTTACTGAAAAATTAGAACGAATATTTGAGAGTAATCCTTTATCAGTCTTTTTGATAGCTGGTGGCCCCGCTAACGATGACATTTAACCTAGCTCATTATTATTAAACTCGGTAAACTATTTAAATTTATTTCTATGTAACTCATTTAGAAATGAATTTGGTAATATATTAGATCTGATATTTACTAAATATCCACATTGTAAAATATTCAAATCTACATCACCAATTTTATCTTGTGATAAATACCATCCTGCTTTAGACGTTTTGTTCAGTATTAATGTTAGATTCCAGTCACTTTATACTGATGAAATTCGATACAATTTTGAAAGAGCGGATTATGTTGCGATAAATAACGATTTGATATTGTGTGATTGGCTTTGCTATTTTGTTAATAATTCTTTAGATTATTAGTTTATTTAGTTGTTTAGTCTATTTTTATAATCTAATGTTCAATATTATTGAAAAGAATGTTCCGAAATACCTTGTAATTCAATCTAAATATCCTCATTGGTATTCAAGGGAAACAATAAACATTTTGAAAAATAAATCAATTGGTCATAAAAAATATAAAATGACAATGGATTTGATAAACGATTATTAAATATTTTCGGATTTTTGCAAATCCTGTACATCTCATAATAAAAAAGTCTATATTATATGTATATTAGTAATATTGAAAATTCAATCACTCATGACATAAAGTCATTTTGGAAATATCCAAATGCTAAATGTGGTACAACTGGCCTTTCAAATGTCATGCATAATGATGATTTATATACTACTGGTATAGTCATTGTTGAGTACTTTGCTGATAACTTTCAATCTGTATATAACACTGATTTGAGTTATTGTAATATCACTGATGTTTATACGAATAGAATAGTTAATGTTAGACACTTAACTATAACGCAAAAAGAGGTTTTTTCATCAATTCAAAAAATTGACACGAAAGGTGGTTCTGGACCTGATGAAGTTCCACCAGTCTTTTTGAAAAATTGTGCATCTAATCTAATACCTACACTTGACTTTTTTTTCTCTAAATCATTAAATGAAGGTTCCTTTCCAGCCATCTGGAAAAGAGGATTCATTACACCAATCCATAAATCATCTGACAGATCTGACATGAAAAATTACAGACCAATAACGAAATTTAGTATTATACCTAAACTTCTTGAATCAAGAGTAACAGATAAATTATCTAAGCAACTTGATTTGATATTAATTGATGAACTACATGGTTTCAGAAAACAAAGGTCAACAACCACTAACTTAATATCTTTCCAGCATTTTGTAATCGAACAACATGTACAATTCAATCAAAATGATACTATACACTAATTTTGAAACTTTTAATAAAGTAAATCATGGTATATTATTACAAAAGATGAGTAACATTGGTATACATGGCTCATTTTTGAAATGGTTAGATGATTATCTGACGGGTAGAATTTTAAATGTCAAGTATACATCTTTCATATCAAGAGACATTGCAGTTCCATCAGGTGTACCTCAAGGTTATCACCTTGGGTCCCTTCTGTTCTTAATGTATATAAATGATATTAAATTGAAACTTGATATGTGTCTCTTCTTTGCTGATGACCTTAAAATATACTCAATTGTTAAAATACCAAATGACTCTAAAACATCAAGGATGTTTAAGTGCCTGGTTCCAATGGTGTACTGAGAACAAATTACCACTTCATATTCGAAAATGTAAAGTCCTGCCTTACTCTAGATCGAGGGATCCAATATTAACTAATTATTGTTTAAATGGTGAAAAGCTGGATGAACTTCAAACCTTCAGAGACCTTGGTGTAATATTTGATTCAATTTTCATATTGATTATATAGTGACCAAATCTAATTAAATGAGTTTTATTAGAAGAACAACATGTGATTTTAAAAATCCCCACACTTTTCGATAACTATATCTAACATTGGTTTGCCCCACTTTATTATATGTTTCCATTGTCTGGTCGCCATTTTGCAGTAACCATATAAATAAAATTGAGACTATTCAGCATAATTTTTTTAACTTTTTGCATGGAAAATGGGCCTTCCTTCACCTGGAGTAACTCATTACTAGCACCTTAGAATCACATAGGAAATACAACCAATATATTTTCTTGTATAAATTATCAAATAACCTGATAGATTGTAAATATTTACTATCCCAATTCCCTTGGAAAGTTCCTAAGTTTAATCTTCGGGACATTCGATATTTGTGCTACCGACAGTGAGAACGAACATTAGTTATTATGTCCCCTTTGGCGAATGTGTAAAATTTGCAAATGATTTGTCCTTAGATCTCAATTTGACATATTAATTATTTCATGTCGTGATGTAAAGCTATATCACTTATATTGATCAGGTTTTGTTCAGTTTCCCTTGAGCAAATGCTGAGATGGCCCCTTGTTTGCTCTTGAACAGTAATGTACCTTCGCTCTCTCTACCCAAGACATCATATTGACCCGTTATACACCCGATTGTAGTAATAATAATAATAATAATAATAATAATAATAATAATAATAATAATAATAATAAATTCATTATTACATCTTACATTATTCACAGTATCTACTGGTCGGTATGTCAACCACACACAGGAATGATGACCAGGTGTGTGGTTGCTTTACTGAATGTTCAGATGGCTTCTGACAATACGGCATGTATTCAAAATTACAGACTTTTGCATATTATATTCATTCCTGGCATCCAAGTGAACACACTCCAGTGTTCGAAGTGTCATTTTCGGGATCACTTCTGTAGCTGATATTATTATAGGCACAGTTGTCACTTTATTGAAGTTCCACTGAGTTGCGACTTCATGGACGAGATCGGTATACTTCTGGATCTTCTCTTGATGTTTTCCCGATATGTTATGGGTATTGGGTATTGCTAAGGAAAACCTTGCTGATGGTTTCTATCAATGGTTATATCGGGTCTATTGGCGCCGACATGTCTGTCAGTGATAATGGAGCTATCCCAGTAGTGTGTGTGCTCACTAATTTCAAGCACATTCTGAGGCACATATTTATAATACGGCACGGAAGTGGCGAGTAAGCCTGTTCTCAATGCCAATAATTGGTGGACATGCGCCACTTTATCGTACCTCTTGTATTCCAACTGTGCGT